AAAAACGAGCGGGGGTAAAAATGAGGAAAAAGCCCTTTCGCTCTCGCGGTATATTTTCGCCTCCATGTTATCGCGCGACCACGGTTCCTGAAGGCTGAAAGGGAGGCCGTATCGCGCCATATTTAACCGGCGTGTCACGGCCGTACGAAATTTTTCATCAGCTTCGTGCGGCATAAATAATTTCGTCGCGGTAGCACGATACCACGCGTAAATTGGATAATTTATCAGCCGGGGTGTTAGGCCGAATTAGCGAAAGAATCGGGCAAAAATCACGGCGTCTTGATTGTACGTATGCGGAACAAAAATACGCTGACGAGGAAAATCTGGAAATTGACTAAATGAATCCAGTCGAATCACGTTCAACTGAAACCCGACGAAATTTATAGAAAAATACGGGTGTATTTATCCGTGGTGTGCGACGTTAATTAGAACGTTGAGCCATACCGTTGCATAATTAATGTAAAATTATTAATTACCTCTGGCATGCTTTATACAATGTTACCTGCTACAATTACATCGAGCAAGGGATATCGCGGCCGTTGCAACTAAATCTCATTACGACATGTTGACGGGGCCAGAATCGAATAAACCGCCAGGTAAAGCCACGACGATAATGAGACTATGAAATATAGCAATCTTAATTTTATACATTTTCAAATAATTCGTCGTTTCGATCATCATTTGTCCACCTGTCTAATTGTAGCGAGTCGAAACGTAGAAGCAGAGAAATCTGAAGATTCGTGAGACGAACCAGATATCAGCTACAGTTTGTCCCTGGCAATGAGCTCACATAAATTCCCGATTTAATATGAATGCGTAATGGTCGCCACGAGGGCTCGTACTTGTTGTACGGAGCAACATAGAGGAGAGAGAGAGAGAGAGAGAGAGAGAGAAGCAAACAGACTCGAGTATAACACGCTGTACATACCACTATATAGTAATATCTACAATCTACATACAGTTCCGGCTGTGTATAGTTCGTGTATATCGTGCCACATTTTCACATCGGCAATTTTGCAGGTACTCTACTAAACCTGTCATTCTCAGATTCCTGGCGCGTTCCCTTAGAATCCTAGGAATCTGAAAATTTTCATTCGAGTGTATCTTGAAATCTATTCGTTGTATTTTTCACTCGTGACGTTACTTCTCCCTATTGTTATGGCCAGATTCTTTCCACTCTACTTTTCTTTAGTTTCCTGTACTTTTTATTTTCTCTTTATTCTTCAAGATTTTTATATTAAGAAAATTCGACGACATTGAAAGTACAGTAGAACCTTCGATATTCGAATTAATGGATGACTGGTCGGACGAGAAAACTCTTGGATAGTGGAACACGTATTTTTCCTTATAAGTATTATTTCATATTTCAAAAAGAATAATACAAGAATATTACAAAAAATATGGTATAATAAAAACGTAATGTTTTTTTAACTTATTTATGAACTTCGTACGCTTTTTACGACTTAATCTTTCAACAATCATATCTTGTTTGTACCTGACATTATTCCAATACCACAAATACTTCGAAATAAGAAGGCATTTAATTCACCGTTACTTTCGTTGTAATTTTGTTTTTTTTTTCAGCATTAAGACTTAAAACGTCGATGACAATATTCATGCAAATTACAAAACTCTTTCGCTTAATATAAATATGGATGTTGGTGTTGCTTTATTGTTGATTTATGGAAAGCATCGCTATACAGCGCAGCCCAGAAACTTATTTTTCAACTCCATTACAGTTTTTTTATTTCTTGAAATACCTGAGTAATTTAAATAATTACGTGCTTTTGTCTCTCGACATTAATATAGTAGATCTTTGAAGATGTTTACAATTCTTGCAACAGTTTAGCTGTTCAAGTATCTTTTATTTTCTTTCAACGCTTAATACAATAATTCTCCTCTTTAATATCATTCTACAAAGATATTAACCCGTACAAAATTAAACTCATAGTAAAATATTTAATATAGATTTTAATATAAAACATACAAATATAAAAAGGATGTCTAATAGTAAAGGGCACAAGCAAGAAATATTCGGTTAACAGAACGTTCGGATCGTGGAACATTCGGATAAAGCCGGACACTTGAGGTTCCACCGTATTCTACAAATTTATCGAAATTTATGTGCAGAATTCTCAGAAATCCTGGTGAATCACGATAATAGCAGCGAGTTTCGGTTCATTCGCAAAACAAGTTCACCATATTCTACCACTAACCACGATAGGGTACGTTTTTAATTATTAATGCATTATCGATATCCCATCGGTAAGTCGTTAGGCAACGATCCAGAGGAAAAAGTTGCAGCAAGAAACGAGATGCGAAAACGTCGAAAAGAATGGGACCAAATAATCATCGGGGACTGACAAACGAAGAAGCGAACGATATTTCGGCGAAATGAATTTGCGCAAAGTACATTAAAATTCGGACGCTTGCGTTCGTTTTAACCGACGTAAAAAGAGCCAGGGGGATGCGTTCTGAAGCGGAGCCGTGCGCGCGGCGAGTAAATTTCTATCGGGATGGCGAGATGGGAATGGGAAACGCGAGGGTAGTGAATCCGGTGGCGCGCAATTGAAAAACGCATTACACGTACGCGATGGAGGTGCGCCGCGAAAATAAACCGCAATGCCAAAAACAGGGTGCGTCCTCACGCGACGAAAATTAAGAGCGAAAACGCGGTTTTCAACGGAGAATCGTTACCGTAGGATAAAAAAGAAAGAGGGAAACGAGTCTAGCGCGGAGGAAGAGCAGCAGAGAATTCGCCATAAAGAAAAACAGAGAGCAGAGACGATTTTGAAAGGGGTTTGGGATGAAACGCGATGTTGTGGGG